CTTCGCTTTTGCAGACTAAAAAGAAACAGGCAGCTGCTCTTCTTTGTTGTTTACCTACCCTCACTGGCGCTGTATAAATATTTCAGGGTTACTTTTCTTGTAATCTCTAATCTGCTGATTCGGAAGGTTTATAGCATAGAAAAGTGTTCATTTAATTAGAAATTCTGTAAATAATAATTAGGGGCCAGTATAATAATATTCATCACCTGCTTATTAACTCCCATACAATGAATATTAACATACCAAATAAGGTTTTAGGGAAATAGTGAGAGATGTGTGAATTAACATACTAGAATAGATAAAAGGGTGTAATCGGTACCAAATTGTTGCCACTTGGAACGATGTGTTGGGCATCCGAGGTTAACGTGCATGGACAATAAAACGGTTCCGTTTACCCCATCCACTTCTAGGTCACCTGTTTCTTTTCTAATATAGCCCACTAAGAACATTCCATTTTCATATTCATAGGCTTTTTAATCATTGAAAGTTGAGCAGCCACATACAAATCAGAACCACCAGCGTTAGAAAGACACACAATGCATGTCACACAAACCCAGTGCTGTAAACCGACGCAGCTGGCGATACAAATACCACATGTAGTCACAGACACGTTGCTTTAAATAAGTCAGTCTCTGGCTCAGAGGCCTCAGTTATGGCAGCAAAAATAAGACATTTAAAAATCCCTACGGTTTCTGAGCTTGAAGCTAGGATTTCTAGTTAAACCCAGAATGGCGTCTCCCCATTAAGTTTATCGCATGGTGGCTGGGAAGTTTACCCAGGGTACTGCAGTAGATGGATCCGATTCAGTACGGCAGTTCCTGCTTGACAGTGGTCAGGCCCTGCTGCTTCAGAGGAAGGTGCAACAAGTCCCTTAGGGTGTGTCTACCCAGCAGGGCTTGCCTCGAAATAAGCGATGCAAATTGAGTATCTTATTTCAAAATAACTTATTTCGAAACTGGGAGCACATTTCAAAATAGAGCACTCTTCCGACGTCCTACTCCTCGTACAATGAAAGTTACAGGAGTCGGAGTAAGAAGTCCTCCACCACTGTGACGGTGCAGCTGGGGTTCCCCCGATCCTGCACCCCCACAGCAGCAAGAACAGACTCCGCCAGCCGGTAGAATAGAGGGGTTTTATTGCCTCTCCAGGATACAGCACAGCATAGACGTGATGTGTTTCCAGGAGTCTGGGCCAGGATACCTCAGACCCCTCGAGATGGGGTCCCTAGGCCCCTGGATTCCAGCCCTCTCCTTAGACTGGCTCCTCCATGATTCCAGCCTAAGACTGCCCCTGCCCCCAGCACACACTTCCTTTGGTCAGCCTCTTCCCTTAACTGGTAGAACTGGTTTTAGCCACTGCCTGGGGGCGGTAAGGCGCCCATTACAGACAGCTGCCAGTGGGGGTCACCCACAGCCCAAGCATAGCAACCAGCAAGGAACTTACAGGACACCACATCCCCCCCCCCCCCTTGAGAGTATTCAGACATTATTTTGAAATAACTGCCTGCTGTGTAGATGTGGAAATAAACTAGCGTTATCACCTAGCTCTTTTTTAGGACTATAATAGAGTTTAAAGAGAAGCTAGATAATTTCATGGAGGTTAGGTCCCTAAAAGGCTATTAGCCAGGTGATAAAATGGTGTCCTTGGCCTCTGTCAGAGGCTGGAGAGGGATGGCAGGAGACAAATCACTTGATCATTGTCTTCAGTCCACCCACTCTGGGGCACCTGGTGCTGGCCACTGTCGGCAGACAGGATACTGGGCTAAATGGACCTTTGGCCTGACCCAGTCTGGCCGTTCTTATGTTCTTAGCAGCTAACGTGTGTCACAGAAAATCTCGGCCGGAGAGAAACAGGATTTTTGTAAAAATAAAATAGAACCAACAGCTTGGCACATTAGCATTGCGCTGCGTGAAACAAAAGAGATCCCAGTCCAAGGAAGCTAACGAGAAGACAGACTGGGCACCGACTAGGGGGCATACAGGTTCGGTGCATTCCATTCGACTCTTGCTACGAAGTATCCGTGACTTTAAAAAAAAGGGAGACAGACACACCATCTATGACTGGTACAAAAATACAATCCCATCTCTGAGGGGTGTTTTATACCTCCCAGCAGAAATCTAACATTCACAAAGACTGGACAGCTCAACAGTCTCCACAGAAAGGAGACTGAAAACAAATCGCGTGCCTTGTGTTGTTCTGATTGTTCCAGCACTGACAGGACCCACACCATGCAGAACGCTGGCAGCACAGAATTGGGGTGATGGATCTAGTGCGCATTGCTAATACCAGGGCAAATACTAGTTGTTTAATAATTTGGAGAAGTTATTTGCTTGGAATGTTAATCTCACACAGAAGCAACAGCTGGAGGCCCTAAGGTTGTTAGGGAACCGGTTTTTGGCTAGTGGAAAAGGAGGACAATGACTATGTGGCTCCATCTTTCCCTGTCACTGAACAGCTGACAGCAATGTAACCATTGCAGTAACTCACCCAGCCCCAATTCAGCACAGTATTTAAGTCTGAAGGGGGGGAGGGGACAAGCCAGTATTACCTGTGCACCTAATTCTCAGTCACAGCAATAGGTTTGGGTGCACAGGTCAAACCCAACCCCCTACAACTGCACACCGCTCTCAGTGACTTGGGTCTGGACTGCGCTCTCGAAGCACGGGAGTGGCACATCTCTGGAGAGCAGGTGGCGGCTTCCAATCGGAGTCAGGCGGTCTAGTTAATCCATTTGCCTTAGTCACAATACTGACAACTTGAGGGCTTTGTATTACCAATGCGAAACGTTCATTCCACATTCACAAAGGGTCACAGTTAGTCCTGCCGGGAGGGCAGGAGACTGGACTAGGATCACTCATGGTCCCCTCCCGTCCTACGATTCTATGAGCTGGAGCAAAAGGAGAGCTGAGCTGCTCGAGGGTTATGCTACCCAGACTGTAACATCTGCACTAGAAAGGACAACCGAGTGCACATGTGTAGCTGTGTCTGGAAAAAAAAAAGTCATTGGAGTCACGCTCCCGCTGTGAGCATGGAAAGTCAGGCAGCACGCCAGCTTCCGGGCGCTGTCTCACCCTGCGCACTAAACGAAGCAGGATGCAAGCATGTGCCTCAGACCCTGACCACGATGCTTGTGCAGGAGGGGGCACAGTTAAGGTTGTGTGTTCAGTTTGACCACAGACATTCCCTGACTCTTCAGCACTTCACTCCGCAACCTTAACATCCCTTGAGCGTTCGGAGCAAATACGCTCCTCGTTTCTCCCCCCCCCCTTCCCCCACCAGCCCCTGAGCTCTCTGCATGCACCTGGGGGCTGACAGCAGGCAGCTCACTGGCACAGAAATCCTCAGCCATCTCGCCGCCTGCCCTTTTGCGGATGAAGTTCAGAAACTCCCCTCCCCGGCAGGAGTCTACACATTTCTGCTTTGCGTATTAAGTGGTGAGCAGCTTGGCTACGCTGGCAGCCCCATGCCCAGAATTTGTACACGGTAGAGCGAGGAGATGGTACAGAACTCCTACCACGCACAGACGGATTCCGAGAGAAGGCTGTCTTGGTACTACAGTATGAGGCAAGAAAAAAAAAAAATCAGTCCCTCCCCAAAGTGTTCCGCGGGGGATTTTGTACACGTAAACTCAGATAGGGAGTTGGCTGGTTACCAGCAACGGGAGCGCTACACCCGTCAGCCTGGTCTGGCAGGAAAGGGCCTGCTCCCAGGACCAGTTCTCCCTCTCTAGAGCAACAATCGCAACGACACCAGCGTAGCTCCCAGTGCCACGGAACCACTGCGCTCTCCCCAGTTCCCACGCGGTGCCAGGAGTTAACAGGAATGAGCCGCCCCCAGCCAGGCCGAGGGCTCAGTACATGGACTCGTTGTCACCCACGGCGGCGAAGGGAAGGCTGTGAGCGCTGCTCTTGCTGCGCTTGCTCTTCTTGCTCCAGGCCAGTAGGGTGCTGGCGCCCTTGCTGTTCATGAGGCTCTTGCGGCTGTTCTCCTTGTTGTTCTTCGGCAGCCCGCCCCCCGTGGACATGGCCAGGGACTTCCTGTCCGCCTGCCAGAAAGAGAATTCAAAGAAGGGCGTTAAGGCAGAGCCCCAAGAGGGGAGGAACAGAAACGCACATGCAGTTTCCACGCGGGTAAGTGCCGCTCACACACGGGCAGTGAGAACGCTGAACGCACCCAGAGACGGACACTGAGTGTTGTGCAAACACTACGTCCATCCCCCGTGTTCCAGGGGGTCTGGGCTAGTTCCCCCCCCCCCCCCACACTGAATGGGGAGGGCATATGCACGGAGTCCGATTCTGATCTCCCTCCCCATTTACACCCTGGGGTGCTCCCACGCACGCAAGAGCAGAATCGGGGCCAGAGCGTTTGAAGGGCTTGCCAAAGCAGCTTGGAGACCGAGCTGAGATCAAAGGGCTCCCGGCTTGCAGCCCAGAGCTCAGGCGTCTAGCTGGTGCTGCCGACTCTCCACTTGACTTTAAGGATGAGGTTTTCCCCACACCTGGGATCATCCATGTCCCGCTCAGAGTCCTGGGAATGCTCTTGGCTTTATAATCCCTGCTCTCCAGCCACCAACACCTCTGAGCAGCAGGGCCTCAATGCTGAGCAATCCAAGCACCTGGCCACTAGTTCACGAGCCACAGGGCAGGGCAGCTGAACATGGGAGGGCAGCGACCCTTTCCCATCCCCCAACAGCTGCCACCCGCCCATCCTCCCGACTGCTAGCCTCAGGAGCAGGTGAGCAGGATTAAGCTCCATCTTCCACAGCACGGCGGGAAGTCTCCAGGCCAGCCTGTGGAGACCGCAGTAGCAGGAGAATAAACCCCAACATGTTGCTGAAAGTCAAACTTCAGGGCCTGATGTGCTGAAGCGTGAAGCCAACGGGGAGCTGAGCGCTAGGGGTGATCAAACCCTGACTCAGTGGAGAGTGAAGTTACGGCTCCCAGGAAGGTCCCTCTGCACTCCAGCAGGGCCACTGACGCCTGGTCGACACAAAGCAGCTCGTGTTAATGCAGGTACGTCAGCGTACACAATGCAGCCATGGAAGGGGATGCCTAGGCCTAGTGGGAGATCAGCGCTGTGGTGATCCATCCCCCAGGGGGCCATTTAGCAGGTCTTTACTAGACCCGCTCAATTGACTGCTGATAGGCATCTCATTCTGGTAGAGTCAAGAGCTAAGAGATGTTGCTGGGGGAGTTTCTCCCATTTACCCCACCTCAGGTATGTCAACATTCACATAGTCTCTTCCCCCCACCGGGCTGTGGGAGACGGAGCAGTCAGTGCTTAGTCCTGGTCTCCTGCTCCCTAGGCCAGATAGTCACATAGCTGGAATTGCGTGAATGACGTTGTCATTGCCAGGTAGCGTGGACCTGCCCTCAACGCCCACCCACCTCATAACGTCCATGAAAGGCAGAGGGCTTCTCTCAGCACAGCTGGGGCGATGCAGACACGGTCTTACAGGCTCCCCACTCCCAGAGGAGCTGCTGCCTGGGCTGCCTGCACCCAGGATCCCACCTCAGACAGCCAAGCAGCCCAGGCCAGTGCCCACTCATGGCAGTGAGGAGGGGGGCAGAGACAGGGCTCAGCCCCTCCCCTCCTGTGGCCCTTCTTCACCACTGGGCAGATTTGAACCCAGGACCTCCGGAGCTTAGTGCAGGGATCTCTACAGCTTGAGCTATAAAGTCAGCTGGCTCCTGGCTCAGGCTGTCGAGCTCCCTTGCTCTGGTCTCTCGCTGTGCACGGTCTAAGTGCCACTCCACGGGACAGTGACACACTCTAGGTGTGTGGTTGCATAAGCACTCCTGGGGAGGACGTGAGCCGCTGCCAAGAGCGGGGTGGGGTCAACAGCCTCCATGTTAATTACTGCCGGGGCTGTAACGGGACCTAATCCAGGTTGGCTTAAAATGTGCAGTGTCGACATGCCCTTGTGGCAGATCCCGTTGGTGACCCATGCATCCTCGCTGCCAGCCTCCACTCCCCGAAGCAGTAGCCTGAGACACACAGCAGCACCCCGCTCGGGTTGACCTCAGCAGGGGTCTCGCTGCCGGCCCTAGCTCTGCCGATCCACAGGGGCTCGTGAGGGCTCAGATAAAGCAGGAAGGTGAATTACAACGTTCTGCCCGTCGGAACTCCGCAGGGTTACCACGCCAACGTCCACACCCGCTTCTCCGACGCTCCGCAGCAGCTGCACCACCTCGGCGTGCTTGGCCCATCTGCAGTCCTCGCCGTTCACTGAAGCGATGTAGTCGCCTTCCTTTAGCCCAGCTTTCTGCAAGAGAGCACAGAGGTGCATGCGGCCACGCGGAGCCTGGGATCTCTCAGCAGCACGACAGCTCCCCAGACGCACGCGGTCAGAGCCTCGGCATCTCCCTCCCCAGAGGTCGTTCCAGCCCAACCCTAGAGTACCGAAGGAGTCCCCCAGGGTGCAGAACGGAGATCCACAGGCATCGCAGGGGCTGCTGCAAGATCTGGGCTCGGTCTGGCCCAGCAACGCACGGACACAGCTGAGTAGTTCCCAGCTACTTCAGCGGGCAGCCGAGGCACGTGCCCAAGGGTCTGACTCGCCTGGGGCCACAGAACCCAATCCAGCACTCAATGAGGCCAATGGGACGACGCCCCTTGGCTACAACGGGCACCAGGTGAGACCAGGAGCGAGTACGCAGGACATCAGACCAGTAACGATCCAGTAGAGACAGGCACGTCTCTGGTACCTGTTTGTGGGACCCCCTATGCGGCCCCCAGGAAAGGCTATTCCTTTGAGAAGCTCTTCTGCCCACGTGTGACTCCTTATGGCCATTTTCTCCCACAATCTGGGCCATTTTTCCTCACCACCAGCCAGCCCAGACCAGGAGCGAGTACGCAGGACATCAGACCAGTAACGATCCAGTAGAGACAGGCACGTCTCTGGTACCTGTTTGTGGGACCCCCTATGCGGCCCCCAGGAAAGGCTATTCCTTTGAGAAGCTCTTCTGCCCACGTGTGACTCCTTATGGCCATTTTCTCCCACAATCTGGGCCATTTTTCCTCACCACCAGCCAGCCCAACTTCCTTT